GATAACTTCATAAAACTAATCATGCATAAACAATTCACATATTACAAGTTACTCGATACACGTACATAACTAAAATATAATCTTATAAAATTAATTGAGATACACGTAAACGAACCGAAATATCAAAAAGAATTGAAAGAGGTGTTAGATGAAAGAAAGTGAAGTGTCAAATGTGACATTAAGGTAACATGGTGTAGTTGTATCTGTCAGTCGGTGCTTATGTACAAAACAATATAGCCAAACATTTTTCCTGGTCCTGTGCTCAAAAGTTATCAAAATTATTATATTTCAACTTGTTGTTTAATACAAGATATTATTATTTTGTATCTTATATTATAAATTTTTGCATGGATGTTAGTTAATGATCATGCTAAAAGTCAAAAGTAGGGCTCTGAAATAAAAAACATTTTATATATTAATGTATTATTACTCCTTACTTGCTACTAGTATTCTACTTGTTTGTCTTGTTTTATACTAAGCATTAAAATTCTTTTGACTTATGACTTAGTCTATTTTTATAAGGGAGATTTATTTATTTTAAATTAAATATAATAATTGTGATATGATATATGTTTTTTATTTTTATTTAAATGTTTCGATTATAAATTGTAATGAAGCTTTTGATGATATCATATGTTCAAAGAGCATTTCCTTTTTCATGGAAGGATAATGCAAAGAATTTAGAAAAGTCTAGCATTAACGTTTAGATTTATCTGGTGTTTAAATTTATTTAAAAGTTGATTAAATTTATTTTTAAATTAAATTTTTTAGAGTATTTATCATAAATAAAAATAACTTAAAATAAGTAAAAAAAAATTCATAAAATAAGTTAGAAAATGTTTGAGTTAAAAATAATATAAAATAAGTCTTAAATGACTTATTTATTAAAAATAAAATAGTTTTTTCGTACTTTTTCTTTTACTTTAAAGTTATTTATGTTTATTTTTTTTAATTGTTAACTTAAAGTCAATTCAAGCCGACTCTTAATCTGCACATGAGATGGGGTGACAACAATTTTTTTTTAAACAAATACTTCTCTCCCTATTATTAAAATATCCAGAATAAAATTAATCAAAATCTTACTCTACGTGAATATACGAGTCTATTAACATAAAACTTCAATTTCAAAAATTAAGAGATCAAACCTTGAAATTATTAATCGAGAATCGAGATATACACATTAACCTACTAACGATTCAAAAATACTCTGTTATTTTTTCAAAATACTTTTATATAAATCTATTACTTTTTTTTTTAATATTTTTAATAAAAATATCGAACATCTAAAATAATATATATAAAAGGAAAGACCTAAGTCAAAATTTGTTGTCACTGCCCAAGGGTCCTATAGTACAACCAATAATTCTTTGATAAAGAGTTGTAGAATGGTAGCTACCATTAATTGAAACCAATTGATTCAAGCACCCTCCTTTGCCTAAACATATCATTATTATTATTATGAATTTATGATATGAAAATATTCCTTTTTGACAGAAATTAAATAAGGTTTTTAATTGGAGCTTGAATAAATGTTCCTCTAATTATATGATATATGCAAAATACATTTATTTTCAAACTCTAAATCAATAATTATTATGGTAGGTTGACAATCACTTAAGAATAGTTGAATAGAGATTCATCATACCCTACATATAATTGATTAATAATGAAATTTTTAGATTAAAATATAAGAATTTCACATAATAATAAGCATGTTTATATGCAAAATCAAAGCTAGTATACATATAAAATTAAATTAAGAATTAATGAAATTAACAATAATGATGGCATTTATGTAAGTGTTAACTCTTTAACTTATGAAAGGAATGTGACACTTTTTTTTTAGTTAATTTTAAAAATAACGAAACACTTATATACTTAGTTATAATTTAGTTTCAAATAGCTCATTAAACCCTTACTGAGATATTTTATAGTCATATAAATAAATATATATATAATTTATTTTCAATCACAAAGTTCAAAAGTCAATTTAAAAATAAGTTCAACTACTAAGAAAACTTGAAAGATGGGACATAAAAATTATGAATTTCATTATATTCATTTAAAAAATTTAGGAAAAATAGGACAAAACTAAATAATCATTTTCCATAATTAACTTTAATTCCAAAAATCATATCTCAATGAATGCTTTTGTACACCTGGTTAAATAGTAGTAGTAATTCCACATGCAAAAAAGAATTAAATATTTGTCGATTTGTATAATATAATATGATAAAAATTGGATTCTCTTGTTTTAGGGGGAAATTTTCTATCCATTCATGAGTTTAATTAGATGTCACGTAAAAAATAATAATTATACATTTCGATAATAATAATAACTCAAATTACAAAGAAAATTATATTAAAAAGCAAAATATTTAATATAATTTGATTAAGTATTTTGAAAGGTATTTTTGAGATTGAGTATCGTGAAAAACACGTTAAAACATATTGATAGAGTTTAAGTATCACGGATATATTCGTGACTGAATTGTGTTTACTCAAGAAATATTAAGTAACATTATTTTATCAGAAGGTTATATCGTATAAACGCTTTTTAATTTTTTATAATAAAATTTCTTTTGATTTATATCGATTTTTAATTTAAATAATATTTTAAAAAATTTCTTGAAATAATTTATTTATTATATATATATATATATATAAAAAAGAGAGACAATTACTATATTTTTTATTTTTTTTTGGGTTTTTGTGTCGGTGTAGTTTGACGTTTTAGTCCTACCTAATTTTTATGGCATTTAGCAAAATAAAATAAATTTTTTTGTTGAGTAATTAAGACGGAATATATATATTATTTCCAAAAATAACAAAACAAAACAAAAAAAACAAGTACCTGTACTCACTGTAGTATTGCCATTCTTTTAATGCATTTCTATGTATTTTTTGTTTTGTTTCACTTTTGTATTTTAATACGTTTAGAGGTATTCATATGTTTCATATTCATACATGTCCATTAATTTAAAAATATTTTTTTAACTTTACTTGTCATTTATAGTGTAAATATGAAAAAATTTAAAATATATATTTTATTTTAAATTATTTATCAGTATCTGAAACGATAAATCAATTAATATGAATATTGTGATAAGTATTTATACTAATTAATATTTTTAAAATTCAAGTAAAGTTTAAAATGGATAAATAAAATTAAATGAACTGAATATATTTTTATCCACTTGGAGAACTTTTAACATCTTTGATAAGTTGGATTTAAATTAAGATATAATTTGTGTATATATTTTTATTCTGAATAAATCATGAAAATCTTTGATTAGTTGAAACTATGGATCATTTATTTGTTCTTATATTATCTTTGTTATTATTATGATTACAAGAAGGACAAAAATAGTATTAGCTTTTTCTTATAAGTCAAAAAATGTTATTTATCAATTGGATAAAAACAACAAAACAAGCTTAATTTTAAGTTTTAAAAAATCATATTGCGGATCAAGGAAGAGAAAAGGAATAATTGAATATTCGACTTAGATTTACGGTGACAATCGAGATCAGGAGAGTCTTGTGTTAATATTTTCTTTAGTTTTTTATTAGGTATCATTTTGAGATTCGACTCAGTCAGATTTACATAAGAAATTCTACTTTGTAGGTAAAACTCTTCCTACCAAAAACGACTTCATATTCAAAATTTGAAATCAAGATCTTTGATTAATTTAAAGGGGGAAAACGTAATATCGTAAGACATGTTATTTTACCTGAAATTTGACTATTAATATCTAATTAGTGACAAATTCCTTCAATTATATAAATTAATATTTACATTTATATACATATTGAATGTATGATGTAAAATTTGAAATAAATTTTGAAAATCATATACAAGTTGTGATTTAATAATAGTAATTTATTATTTCATATATCTTAGTCAGAATGATCCAAGAAGGAATAAAACAAACATTAGCTGTTTTTAGGACATACAAGTCAAAAAAGCCAAATATAAATCGAATAAATATCCAAAAAAAGTGTAAATTCCTTTTTTTTTTCTCTCTTATAAAACAGTTTCTTTTTCGATAATTCAATTAAATATTATTCCAGCTATACAAAAGAGAAGATAACTTTAAATATGCCAATGACTAATATTTCAACTTCAAATTTATAAGATAAGTTTTAAATTCATTTTAAGGTTATTATCAATATATATATGGCAAGAATTATTTTTGAGACCATTTTTTAAATTCATTTTAATGTTATTATCAATATATATATATATATATATATGGCAAGAATTATTTTTGAGACCATCTTCATATGTATATATGATGTATCGATATGCATATAATAATATCCTGCTATTGTATAAATAGTATATAATCATGAATAAATAATGTATAATTATGTATCAAAGATGTATATACTTTGTGTTATTTACATAATGTATTAATAATGCATTATTTATAGTATAACTATGTATCCAAGATCAAAGATGTGTATATGCATTATTTATACAATAAAATATACATTGGACACTCATTTATTTTCTATCCAAACCAACTCAAATCTCTTTTAAACAATTTCAAAATTTAGATCTGAGCTCATCTCGATGTTTTGAGTCGATTGAAATGTTAGTCCCATAGAAGTTTTAGTACTGATTAAGTTTCGATATTGGGCCAAAATATGAGACCTCAATCATTTGGACCAGGATTTAACTTTCTAGTTAATGAAATGGAGTTCTTTACAATAATAGCCATAGCCCATACTGAATCGAATTTTTTTTTTTTTTTTTGTTATTCAATATACATAAATTATATACTAATTATACACAATTTAACACATATTATACATATGCAAGAAAATTAATTTAAATCCCATAGCTAAGGCTATACAGAGAGAAAAAGGAAAATTGTATGATATAACAATTTAAGTCCACTAATTATCAGTTTAGTAATACTTTTAAATAATTATAAAAGCTACATTTTTATTTTATAGCAAATTTTTCCTATATGTATATACATAGTGACTATATTTTGAAATTTCATAAACGACTATAGTTTGAAATAAAATTCACTTTTTTTGGCATTTTGGATAATTTCAAATATCTTGAAAACTGAAACAAACAAAAAAAAATTACACAGAGGCTACAGTGACAGTACCAAATTTCCAGGTGTTTTTTGAAAAAACAAACTTTACCCTGCTTGTTGTTGAGTGCCGTTTGTCTCTTTACTCTCTTCTTCTTGAAGATGAGCAAAGAAATGGTGAATTCTCTCTCTTCATAACTTCATACTTATCTATGAACTCATTTTTTCAGATCTTTCAGTAAATAAAGTTTGATTTTTTTAGCTGTTTTTTTTGGTTGTATGTACTTTTTCTCTTGACCCTTTTCATTTTTAGACATCTTTTTGCTAAATTCATTTTTATTTCTTGCAGTTAAACAAGGGTTTTTGTTAAAGTTACAATCTTTGCTCTGTTTGAGGTAAGTTGTAGATCCAATGTACTTCAGGTTTTGATTTATAATGTTGGATTCTTGAGCTTACTCTGAAGCTAATGGAGAATACTGATTGCATTTTCTTTTTGTTGTAAAATAGTTAGAGGTAATGTTTGTTACTTATATGTGCAAGGTTTAATCTCTGTTTACTCAACTTGTTTCAACATTGTTGCATTTGGGGCTCTGATTTTATTTTGAAATTGGATGTCCTCAAAGACTATGAAGCTTGGACTCTCCAAAGTTGTTGCTTACCGGTGTCGGATTTTCCAAAAAATTGTGTATTTTTGGAGTGTCTGACATGCAACTATTGATGTTCCCGAAGAGTCGGAGCAACATAGCTGAAAGATGTAGCTGGAGTGCTTTGGTGGTAGGGTTTTCTGCTGCAGGGTATTGCTACACTTGCTAAATTTCTTAGGAATTAGATAAAAATATCACCTTGTTGGTTTCTTGTGTATCCATTTTATTGGATTTTCAATCCAATGTGTTATAGGTGATACCAGGGTTAGAGTAATTTAAGCTTTCCCTTCTCCATTCCCAAGCCACAACGGAGGATAGGAACACAACTAGAGGCGAATCCAAGATTAAACATCTATTGGGCTCAATCTTTAAGATTTTTAGTGTCCATTATTGTTTTGAAATTATGGGTTCAGACCTTCTATCTTAGTAAACTTTTGCATATAAGTTTACGTTGCGCATCAAAGTAATGGGTTCAGATGAACCCAGTGTTTGCAGGCTTGCTGCATCTGCCCCTGACACAACGAAGGAAGTTTCTGTATTACACTCATTAAGTCTGCCAAGCATCTGATTCTCCTCTACTGGAAGAGATTCTTTGTATAGTCCCCATTGGATAGGTGTTGAATTCATGAATGTTACATGAGAGAAGATCACTTGAGATGGTTTGGTCATGTCCACGTCGATATCTAGATGCACTAGTTTGTATGTGTGACCATAGTTAGTGAAAATGTTACATGTGATGAGGTAAACTCAAATCACATGGTAAAAAGTTGTCTGGAAAACCTGAATCTTTTGGAATCCATGCATGTGCTTACTCGATATAGAGCTCTTTTGAACCTTCCAGACTTATTATTCACAGGTTCTTACGTTGTGGGCAATCAAACTTATTACTATGGGAAAATCTCCTGGAAAGTGGCTCAGGTCATTGTTGCCAGGGAAAAAGTCTTCCAAATCTGGCACATCAAAGGTAGGAGATATGATCCTATTTTGTTTTGAATTGAATTATCCCTCTGGTTCTGCCTTTTTCTTATTATCTGCCTGCTTTGTAGTAAAGTGGATTTGTCCATATTTCTTTTTGGTTTGTCAAGAGTTGAAAGCTAGTTTTGTACTTCTGTTTGTGCGAAATTGCTACTACTTTATTGTTCAGTGGATTCACTAGTAGCTAACATTTTGCTCTTTCTGCAATAGAAGTGGATAAGGTTTATACTGAGAAATGTAAAATTGGTGCCATTAGAATTTTTCTCATCTCATCAGAACAATAAAAATTAAAATTGTTGCCTGGAGAACCTTCATGGCGTAAGGCCATAACCCATGGTAGTACTTTTTGGGAGTGGACATTCTTTTGAGGCAAGCCATAAGGCGAGCTGTCTACTTACTTTGGTGAATAACATTCATGAAAATGAACCTTGTGTTCTGCCCTAATGTCAATACCTATGGTCGCTAGCCACGAAAACAGTATTATCATCACAATGCAATAAACTTGAACAGGGCAACTAGTAAATGATATGTTTCTTTGAGAGCAATTTTCCACAAGCATTACTTGTTTCTGCTTATCTTCCTATGTGGGGTTTATTTTATTCATATTATTTCTATTAAGTTATTTTAATCTCTGTTTCTTTCTTTAAAGAAATCTTCAAATGAGAAAGCATCTGTAATTTCCACCAATGCGGCATTGTCCGGTTCGTCTGTCCATCTGCCATTGATATCTGAACCAGTTGCTTGTAATGCTGGTGGAATAAAAGAAGACTCGAACTTTGAGAAAGGAGGGGTCACTAATGAGGTGATTCTCCCTTCTATCGAGCGAGATGGAGACGAACAGAATACTTGTCTTACCTTACCTGAGGATACTGAGAAAATGAGGCTTGAGCAAGCAGCTACAAAGGCACAAGCTATTGTTAGGGGTTATCTGGTAATTACTTTACCATATTGATTTACTGGTGTCTTAAAATATTATTGTTTTTTTGTGTTTTTATTACAATTTGAGGAATTATGTTTGTTTTCGGCAAGCTTTGTCTGCTACCTTTTGATGTCTTCCCCTTCCACTTCAATATTGTGGCAGCGAGTTACTTTCACAGCTTTTTACTCTACTATGCTTGTTTCTTGTGGTTAATGAATGTACGAGCTGATTTTATTTCTATTATTCTTTCAGCCAACATATATGAATAGGTTTTGATTTCTGTTTAAATGGTTAGAGACAACTGACAACTGTTAGATGTTTAGAGACTGGAAGTTGTAGCATCTGCTAGTTTTTCTCTTAGTTTAACCTAAACAAGACATGCAATTGTCCATGTTTGTTTAGTAGGGTTTGTCTATATAAACTATTCTTTTGCACAAAGGTGCGGAATGCCGGAATTTTTTTGAATATTTTACAAGTCTATATTGTAAAGATGTGAACAACTTCCTAAGAATGGAAGTTATGCTACATTAAAATTGCTAGAAAATGATCTCTTGTGAGTCATAAATCTTGGAAAATGACTATCATCAGCAAGCTCTTATACTACCCACAAATGGGTTTACCAGTAGCTCCAAAGTCACTTTGAATCTACGCGTTGATAACATTTGGATTCTTGCAACCCTTGAAGGTCTTAATGGTTTTCTTGATAATGTTCACCGAATGGCTTTGAATAGTGCTTTCCCGATGAGATCCATTTTTGACTTTATGTGACTAATACTTTAACATTTTCTCTGTTCATGTGTTTCCTTAATTTTGCAAATGATGTGAGTGTTATGGAAGGACTTTACTACTTACATCTGACATGATCTTGCTAACTTTGATGTTTAAGAACATTTTCTATGACAATGGGCTAATATCTAATTTAACTTGAACATTTAACCTGTACTGATGCCGATATGGTCTTTCTGAAGGCTCGCCGAGCATTTCTTAGGCTCAAGGGGACCATAAGGCTACAAGCTGCAGTACGTGGCCATCTGGTCAGAAGGCAGGCTGTTGCTACATTATACTGTATACATGGCATTGTCAAACTTCAAGCAAATATCCGTGGCCAGATTGCTAGACGTTCCAGTATTGGCTGTGAACTAATAACCAAACAAGGACTTGAAAAACAGGTAAACTACCAAACTGACTTTTTAAAATTTATTATTCCTTGTGCCCCAATTTATGTGAAGGTGTTTGAAAGAAAGATTTGAAATTTGTGTCTTGAGTCTAAACGAGCCTGAGAAATTTTTGCTGCTATAATCATTTAATCAAGGGTAAATTGGAAATTTTAAAATTGTATTGTTACTAAATATAAAAATGTCATTCTTTTCGAGACTCACTGAAAGGAAGTGCATCACATAAATTGGAACTGAGGGAGTACTTTGATCCCTCACGACATGGTGAAGGATGATGGGCTCACGCCATGTGAGCTACCCTCCAACACAACCAAATTGAGTCTTTTAATTGACTTAATGGTATCTAGTCTTATAATGATTTGAAATAACGTCTAGGAATCCATGTTATTTAGACTATATGCTGCCAAGAGTGTTCAATGTACCATTTTTTATAACTGTTCTGCTATGAGTCTTGACTTGCTCGATGGTTTATAATTTTTTCTGATACCTTCATCATTAGGATGCCAAACAATTGGATTATCAGAGAGCTAATGCATCCAAACTAGCACGGGAGCTATCCACTAACGGATTCACTACAAAGGTAAACATCAAACTTCTCACCATTATTTCTTGCTTTTTTTTAGTACTGTTCCTGCATTATCTGGACCTAGAGGGAAGAATATGCCCATAAGACAAGTGGTTATCCTTAAATAACCAAAAAAAGATACCCAGATATTGAAGTTCTGCATACGTGAAAGCTCCCCTTACTGTTAAAATTAGTATTTTTTTAGATTTGAGGCATCAAGTGCAAAAGAATGTCCCATTTGAATTTGGAAGTACCAAATTTTCTCGTTTTTACTTGGTTGTTGTTACTATAGTTGACTGATACACTGATTGAACAATCTTTCCATATGGTATGTTTCAGCTACTTGCTTCATTACCTACTGGAATGCCTCTACACCTCCATTATGGTCAAGAGGAGCCAAATTCTAGTCAGGAATGGCTTGTCCGTTGGACTATATCACAGATTTGGCAACCACGATCTAAACTGGAAACACTTCCGGGAAAAAAACATCAAAATGCTGAAGCAGACATTGCTATGTCAAAGCACAGTGTAAGGAAAGTACATTCTAAAAAAATGCAGAACGGTTCAAATCATTCCACTTCTTCGGGGTCAGAAAAGAAGAAATCAAGTCATTTGGTAAACTCTGTTCTTCAGAATCCAGGAAGTGAGATTAAGAAGGTAAAACATAGTTTAAAGAAAACGTCCAGCCCTATATTGGAAAAACCAGTTCAGTCTGAGGTTGACACTGAGCGAAAAAGGCAAAGTCATGACAAATCATCAAGCATGGCATCTGATGAACCATTGAAAAATTCAGAAGGGACAGTTGAAAATTCTACTAATGTGGCCCCACCTCCCGTAGTGGTGGACGATACTATCACTCATTTGGATATCCTTTCTGTATCTGATACTCATCACAAATCGACTACTGATGCTGCGGATCAGAAATCGATCACTGATAACAGAGAGGATGATACTCCTGTCGCGAATGAGGATTTTTGTACTAACCATGATAATAATGAAGGAAGTGAGAGCAACAAGGTTAACAGAAGAGTTTCTTTACCTGCAAAGCATGATGTCGATGCAAGTACACCCACAACAAGAAAGGTGCCCAGCTACATGGCTCCAACCAAGTCTGCTAAAGCTAAGCTGAAGGAGCAAGCCTCACCAAGGTTTGGGCAAGATGTGGCTGAGAAGAATGCCGTAACCAGACGTCATTCTTTACCGTCCCCTATGAATGGAAAGCTGAGTTCATCACCATCACCACGGGTGCAGAGGCTGGTCCAAGCTAGTGCTAAAGAAGGAATCAAGATCGACAGATCTTTATCGTCTTCAAGGGATGGTACTGGTGAGTATTTAAGTCAACTCATTCTCTTCGTCCATTTCAATATGTTTGTCTTAGTTTGGTTAGACGCAGACTTTTGAAACAGACGAAGTAGTTCACTCTGTGGAGTATGAGTATTAAAACATACAAATAAGATCCATGAGAACAGTAGAGGCAAGAGAACATTCTAGAAGATGGAACCTTTGCTTTTGGTTTAGGGATCATGGGTGGGTGCTGATGATTCACCATATCTGTGGGGGAGGCGGTGGAGGAATTAGAGGACTGGTTCCAGAAATCGTAAACAAGTCACGAGTCTCCTTAAGATGACATAGTTGTGAAGTCTGCTAAATTTCTAACAGGATAAAACTTGTGCATTAATTTCAAATGATAGATGAATGTCTTGGGAACTCGTATACAATGCTTCTACTTGACGTTACACATGTAACTTTTGCCTTTACCATTTCAGATAAGATGACTCGAGCAGAATGGAAGCGGTAACTCTGCAAGAATCTCAGATGTAGCAGGAAAGTAGTACCCGAGGATCGATCACTGACAGAACAAAACTTCATTATGTCCATAATCCTACTTTTGATGTTAGAAAGGAACTAAATTATAAGATATAGATGGTGTGCCTTTTGTTGTCTTTAAATTTTGCTTGGGAAATATTGCAAGAGTTTGTACTTGCTAGACTTTAGTTATAGGTTTGTCTTGTTAAGGCTTTAGTCAGGTTGAGTTGATATAAAATGTGTGTTTTTAGGCAAAATCTATCTGTATGTTCAGTTAATGTTTTGCTTTGAAATGTTTGATTATGCAAAAAACACCAATACAAACGATTTATAGCGTTCTTACTTACCCTTCAACATGACTCGAATGCTCAATCACTTGAGCAAGCCTCGGGATTTAGCAAGTAAGGCATACTTCTCCCACTTTTTGAATGATTTCGTTTTCTTTTAGTGTCGTTGCAATCAATTTTATGTCAATATACTCATCGTTCTGTGCTTGTTGATGATTGTTACATGTTGAAACTTGGTGTGAAGATTAATTTGTTGCACAAGTACAAGCAAATAAAGGAGAATGATGCAACAATTGTTCCTAATTAAGAGTTGCAATTGATGTGAAGACATTATTAGAGGATCTTCAGTTATAAAAATGTCATGTAAACATGTTTCATTTCAAATGTATAAAAAAATTGGTTAGATTAGGAATATTGGTTGCCCTACTTGTACTCCTGTATCAATAATGGCAAATCCTAATTTAGGTTTAAGTGTCTTTTTTTTTTTTTAAATTTGAGTTTATTGGTTTGATAAAGAAAACATTTTATTTTTACTATTGATTGTACATATATGTTTTTTAAATCTGTATATTTGTTAGATTGATTAGTATTATTGGTTGATATATTGGACTTATGTGTGTTGGTTGTGTTGTGTTGTGTTATGTTATTTACGAAATAAAAGGTAAAAGAAAAAAAAGGGTACTTTAAAACTATGAGAAAGTGAATTAAAATATATGAATCCGGCTCTTTCTCCATTGCTTATCGGAAAGGTGATAACCCTTTGAAAAATTTACAATCTTTCGAAAAAGTCACAGTTTATTCAAAAAGTCACAATTTTTTAGAAAAGTCACAGCTCTTCAGAAAAGTCACAAAATTTCGAAAAGTCACCATCTTTCAAAAAGTAACAACTCTTAGAAAAGTCACAACGTGTCGAAAAAGTCACAACTGTCCAGAAAAGACACAACATTTTGAAAAGTCGCAACTCTTGATCGAAAAAAGCCACAACTCTTTATAAAAAGTCACAACTCTTCATTTCCCGTTCACATCTTATAAATCCACCGATCTAAACTTAGAATAACCTTAAAATTCATTGACTAAAATACCAAGTCAGAAAACGTACATGCATGTATGTTAACAATTATAGTAAAATACTTAAAATCCTTTTAAGAAAAAAGTTTAGAATTCAAATATCTATAAATTCCTAATATTATTTAGTCAAGTTAATTAATTTACCATGGAGATTTTTGCTTATGAAGAATCCAATTTGTATTACACCTTAGGGTGCCCTGAAAATCCCCCCATAAACCTCCATAATTCTTTTGCATTTGAATTAGTAGTAATTCAATTTATTTGTGAAATTGGACATCGTTTGTATGATATTTCTGGTAAACTATACAAACACGAATGTCCACAAATCTCAACATGTTTCACAATGGAATCTCAAGATTTCACGAATCCAGAAAAGACTTATCAAGTTATACACGATCAGTTACAAAATTTTCAAGTTCCATTGATCTTCAAATTCAAAGTGATTGTTGATGAGTTGATCGAATTGGCACATAAGTATAGCCATTGTTCTGTGCTCTTTGACGATCGTTACGTGTTGGGACTTGGTGTTAAGATTAATATGTCACACATATACAAACAAATAAATGAGAATGATATAAGTAATGAAATGGCACAAACTAAGAGTTGCAAAATATGTGTAGAAGATATATTTGGATCCTCAATTATAAAGATGTCATGCAAACATATGTTTCACTTAAATTGTATGAAAAAATTGTTTGATAGGAACATAAGTTGCCCAAGTTGTACTCCTATAAATGATGGAGAATCCTAAGTTAATTGTCTAAATATAATTTTATTTGTTAAGTCTAATTAGTGCCCTTTTTCATTTGAATTTATTGGATTGATAAATGAAATATTTTTAACTTTTACTTTTGATTGTTATGATTATTGGTTAATGATGTTTATTCTGGAATATTATTTATTATTACATGAGTGATTTGTGTGTAACCTTGTTTGATTCTTTATCTCACAATACCCCTTTTGAGTTATATAGGTTTTATGGTTACTTGTTACAAAAAAAATGTGATTCCATTTTTTGAATTTAACACACAATTGTGACCAGGTTGAACCTAACCAAAATGCTTTTTTTTTTTTTTAACTCTCTTAAATTTCTTGTGTCATGAAGGATATGTGAATTTGCATGTATTTAAAAAACAAACATAAATTTTGTTCGTCTTTATCCCATCTCGCAATATTCTTCTATATATATATATATATATATATATGTATGTATGTATCCAGTATGTTTCACAAGTATCTAGTTGTATTTTTCTCAATTTTTGATAGAAAACTCTTAATTAAAATGGTAAGATATATTATTATTTGAAAATATGAGTAAAATTTAGTATATATGATCGGCATGGATGTGTGTCTAATAAAGTAGTTTTTTAGTAATTATTTCCCTAGTAGATCTAAATTAAAGCTAAACATCAATTAATATAGGGAAAATGTACAAGTACCCCCTCAACCTATGTCTGAAATCCCAGAGACACACTTATACTATACTAAGATCCTATTACCCCCTGAACTTATTTTATAAGTAATTTTCTACCCCTTTTTAGCCTACGTGGCACTAGTTTTTTAAAAAAAGTCAACCATCGTTGGGCCCACAAGATAGTGCCACGTAGGTCAAAAAGGGGTAAAAAATTATTTATAAAATAAGTTTAGGGGGACAATAGGACCTTAATATAGTATAAGTGTGTCTCTGAGATTTCAGGCATAGGTTGAGGGAGTACTTGGGCATTATCCCATTAATATAAATATTGTATAAAATACTCATATTAATCATTATTTAAAGAGACGTGCAAAGTCCAAACTGAATAAGAATGGAGGAGTAATTATGAATATAAGAAATATTGAACCTGGTCTACATTGCTATATGATCTTTAAATGTATTTAAAAGAAATTTGATATATATAATTCGAAAAAATCGTATAATAATAGTCAAATTAAAGAAACTAATTAATTTTACAAGATAGAAATTATAAGGACCAGATGAAGTATATTATATACAAATGAAAATTACTAAATTAAATAAATTTCAAATATCACAAGTTAAAACTTTGGCATAAGAAATAGCAAGTGAATCCATTACCCAAACATTAAGACATGAAAAGAAAAAAAGGGAAAAAGTACAATATGAGATTAAAAGACAAGAATAAATTACCTTTTCATATATTCTCAAACTTTAATATTACCCATATTTGTAGACACATTCAATATAATGTCACCCCATATCCTAGTTCAGACCTCACTTTCATATTTAGGATGGAATTTTCTTATAAAACAAATGTTATAAATAGGAGTGTATGTTGTGACAACATTAAACAAACAATTGAAGTGCAAGAGTATTACTACTAGCTAGTTGGAGATGATGAACAAAAATGATTTTCTAAATCTATCAAGGTGTTCCCTAGAGTTTCCTTGACCGCTTCATTAGGGCTTACTTCGTTGTTTGATGTCCTGCTGAAGTGTTTGGGGGAACTCCTGGGCTCACTCTGAAATTTTACGCAAATTAAACAAATAGAAGTGTTTGCTGATTGTGGATGATGAACGAGATAGTTCAAGTATAAATCTATCAAGGTGTTCCCTAGAGTTCCCTTGACCACTTCATGAGGGCTTACTTTGATGTTGGAAGCCTTGCTGAAGTGTTTGGGGGAACTCCCGGGTTGACTTTGAAAATTACGCAAACAAGTATATATAAATGCATGAGTACGTATTAGCTAAAGATGATGAGTACAATATTGATTCATGTACCTTTGGAGTTCCCTTGACCACTTCATGAGAGCTTAATATTTGATTGTTTGAAGTCCTACTGAAGTATTTGAGGTAACATTCGGATCTACTTTGAAAATTACAAAAAACAATTAATTAAAATCATGAAGATTGGACGTTAATTTTTGTTCTTTTATTAAACCAGAGCTTTATTTTAGCCGTATAATTATCCATTTTGAGCTACATTGTATACTCATTGGAATAAAGCTTGTAGCTAAATTTTATTGGATTTGTTTGATGTGTTGACACTTTGTTTAGTTTATTCCCGATAAAAATGATGTAGTACTTGAAAAATATTTTTTTATGATTGGAGCCCGATTAATAAGATTTTCGCTAGGGGTGTACATGAATTGAGTTGGTTCAGATTTCTTAAAATAGTAATTAAATCATTTATGTTGTGTTTTAAAATCTACAAACCAAACTAATAGATTCAGGTTATTCAACCTCGGATTTTTTCGGATTTTTTTAAATTTTCCGGGTAAAGTATTTATAATAACATGTAATTAACTGGTGTTTTAAATATTTCTTTAGTTTTTTTTTTCAAAATATAATTATCTAAGGTATTTCTTAAGAAATTAACACAAGATAATCTCTAAAATATTCAACAAAAATAACAATGAAATCATAGAAAACAAATATTGCAAATAGATAAGTCAAAATGAAAATGATTATAATTTTAAGGTATAAATCATGCTAAAATAAGTGTAAACCAATATATCTCAATGCTAAGTAAATACTGTTATGCATAAAATATTTTGTTTTAAAATTATATATATGATGTCGAGTTTGTTTTAGTGGCATCTCAAACCGTTGCTAATACCCAAATCTATGTTTTTAGTAACAAAACAAGTTGCTGCTAACACTTATAATGATCGCCACGTTGTTTGGCAACATAAGTCGCTGCTAATACCTATAATAGTTGCCACTAAAAGTAAGTTTTAGTGTCAAATCATGTCGCTGCTAATTAATACCTATTAAAGTTAAAACCAACCCAAGCTAATATAGTCGATTTTTTTTTCTTCAACAACAAACTAGCTAAGTAAAACCAAAATTACTAGTCAAATTTTTTTCGAGTTTGATTTGGTGTAATTTTTTATTCGATTTTATTTATCCCTAATTCCCGTTGTATAGAGTCCCATTTGGAAGGATAACGACGCTTCCCAGTAAGGATTTTTGAAAAAATATTATAAAAAAATAAAATAAGACAAGCTGTTGTAATTCATGAAAACATGAGGCAATATTCTTATTTGAGCTCAATTAAATTCGGATTCATGCCTGAAAGTCCCACATTGAAGGGTGGGGGTAAACGGCTTCCTAACAAAGATGACTCTGTTACGTACCAAGGGGATTCAAACTCCTTGGTTAAAGTTCTTACCACTCCACAATAACTTCAGACCTCTTGATTAAGACTCTCTAACAACACTTTATGAAATTACACGAGATAGATTGTTGTTGCATTGTTGCCTTTTTGAACTCTGGAAAAGAAATATTCCTTGATACATGTAGGATTATAATATACTTCCTAAGGTTATAATATTGAACCTGGTCTATATTGTTATCCAAGTGAAGGAAAAAAATTATTCCAAAATAAAGGGAAAACAATCCATGCACAAATTATAAGATTGACTCAACATTATATTTTTTGTTGACACCTTTCTATTTTTATACCAATTATAAAGCAAATTGGACAAGATCTAGAATAATTTTATAAAATATATATACCCCTTCTGTCACACAAGAGTCAAAGTATTTAAAAATATCGTTGTGAATTATTATATGATTCTTTAAAATTATTTAAAAGAAAATTGAAATGCATAAGAAAAAATATAAATAGTCACATTATAAGACAGTGAATTCATTATTTCCAGCAAATTGATGCAAGATTTAATTAATATCAAAGTTAAAACCTTATATATGAGAATTATGCATGTGAAACCATCATTTAAACTTGGGTTTAGTTAATATCAAAGTTAAAACCTTATGTATGAGAATTGACCACTTCATGAGGGTTTAATTACTTCGTGTTTGATGCCCTGCTGAAGTGTTTGGGGGAACTCCTGGGTTTACTTTGAAATTTACATAGATTAGTAGAAGTGGAAGAGTACTAACAGGGAGATGATGAAAGAACAATGATTCATTTCTATATATATCAAGGTATTCTCGAGAGTTCCCTTGACCACTTCATGAGGGATTAATATCTTTATTTTTGATGCCCTACTAAAGTGTTTGGGGGAACTCTTGGGTTCACTTTGAAGTATACACAAACTAGTAAACATGCAAGAGAACTAGAGTTAGATGATGAATGCAATGCTTCATTACTACATCTATCAAGGTGTTCCCGAGAGTTCCTTTAACCACTTCGTTTCTGAAGTCCTGCTGAAGTGTTTGGGGAAACTCGCGGGTTCACTCTGAACTTTACACAAACAAGTTGAAGAGCAAGAGTACAAGCTGAAAATGATGAATCCAACATGTCTATATCTATGAACATGCATGACTAATTTCTATAATTACAAAAAAAAATTAAATCTTTTTTATTGACGATGGACATGCTTCTGATTTTTATTAGAACAACTTTCACTATATGAATTTATAAGTTGGTACAAAATTATTCTAAATCAATGTATTTCATGATGATAATTGATGGTCTACTAATACTTCAAGCAACAATTAATATTATGTTATTTGATGAATATATCAATGAAAATTGCTTGATTTGACAAAGGGATGTTATTGGTGATTGAGTAACATCTAATCGTTTCAGTCCTTTTGATTTGCACTAAATTGGCTTTTAAGTTATCCTCAAGAACATCATGTAGTGTTTTTTTTGCTATGCTTATCTAGATTAACATTTTTTTTCATGTTTTTTTTGTTTCTAGACTATTATATATGTATTATGTAGTGTTTTAGACTATTGAATAATATTATGCATTTTTTTTGCAATACAATGCATTGATATATAAATAATAAATAAAAAAATATTCAAGCTTTTTCCTCTTTAATCAATTTTTAGAGCACACTAACAAAAACTCTTGACACAATTCTTAGTTCTTTTGAGTAATATTTGCACCTGATGAATCACACATTTTATTATTTTTTTCTTCAAATCATGATATTTCGATTTATTTTATTTATGTGAATAGAAGTGTATCCTAAAACACCATAACTATTCGTCAAATAATTATTTTTGTGATTTAATTTCTTATTATTTAGCAAGATTCTTATTTATAACTATTAGCCAAATAATTATTTTTATGATTTAATTTCTTATTATTTAAATAGATTCATATTTATAATTATTAGTCAAATAATAATTATTACACTTTAACATTCTATTATTTGACCGGATTCATATTTATCACTCTACCAATATTGATCAAATCTAAACTTTATGATTTGATTTGTTATTATTTGACCAGATTCACATTTATCACTCTGCTAATATTCGTCAAATATAGATTTTATGATTTGATTTTTTATTATTTGACCAGATTCATATTTATTACTTAATTAATATAAGGTACAAAATTTTAAATGACACTAATAATTTGACAAGAAAATTTATGGCAAGTGGTTGATAGACCACATCAGAACCACATCGGAATTATGAGTTCATAGACAATTTTTTGTTATATATATATATATATATAATATTTGACAAAAAATAATTATATATCATCTAACAAAGAAAATATTGAAGATGATGAGGAAGAAAATGCCAACGTTGATAATTTTGATTATATTTTCTAACAAATATAATTATGGAGATTATATGGGTGATGGCAATGACGATGTTGATGGTGATGATAACAATATTTGAGATTCTAGAGATGATGATTATGATGATGAAACATAATCATTTCTTAGATCTCCAATATCATCATCAACATCGTCTTCATCATTGCCTGTATTGTCTTCATCTTTATTTTTTTAGAAGACATAAAATCAAGATCTCCATCACCGTTATCATTATCATCGTCATTATCTACGTTATTTCCTTTGTGAGGCATATAATCACAAACCCCCCCCCCCCCAAACCTTTATTATCATTTTTATCATTTATTTTGTTCAAAAGTGTAAAATAATAATATCTAGTAATCTTCCTCATCACTAAAATCATCATGTTTCTTGTAATAATCATTATATATACTTGTCATCAATCGGTCCAAAATGATTTTATAAGAAAATACTTTTCTCTATAATTTTAACTGTTATTTTGAGAACTGTGGTCATTTACTCTATTTCTAATCTTGAAAAATAAATCATAGCTCAAAATGTATAAGATCTAGAATCATCAAATCTCAAGGTTTCACAATGGAATCTCAAAATTTTAATAATCTAGAAAAGACTTATCAAACTATACACGATCAATTAAGAAATTATCAAGTTCTATTGATCTTCGAATTCAAAGTAATTGTTGATGAGTTGATCGAACTAATTGATGAGTTGAAAGTGTAAGATACATAATTATTTTTGAAAGTATAGGTAGAATTTAGTATGTATGGTATAGAACGTCTGTCTAATAAAGTAATTTTTTCCGTAATCATTTTTCCAGTAGATCTATATTAAAACTAAACTCCAATTAATATAAATATTATATAAACTACTTATATTAATCATTATTATTTCTTAAGAAACGTGCGCAAAGTTAATGGAGGAGTAATTATGAATACAACATATATTCCTTTGGAACAAACAATTAGGCGGATAATGCTAAGAATATATATACCCCTTGAGATTATAATATTGAACCTGGTCATCATTATTATCCAAGTGAAGGCAAATATGAATACAAATGGTAAATTGTCCATCTGGAATATATTTATAGAAATATACACCCCCTCCGTGACACAAGAGTTAAAAGTATTTAAAAATCGCGATATGAATATGTATATGATTTTTTAAATGCATTTAAAAGTATTTTGACATATATAAAAATTATGAAAAAATCAATTAATAATAATAATAATCGAATTAAAGAAAATACAAATGAAAAACTACTAAGTTGAACAAATTTTAAATATCAAAAGTTAAAACATTGG